ACGTAAGAGAAAGCATCCTAATTTCTGCTCATCCTAATGAATTCCAAAGGACATTTGTCGTTTCTTGAGTGCGCGCTCATGAGCATTTGTGTTTGGGCGCAATTCTGCAACTTCCTTGCAAAATTCAGCAAAATTCAGGTTGGCTGGATAAGTTCAGCATAGGGTCTTCCTCCTTCTCACACACTTGATTTTGGTTGCCCCTTGGCTGTTGATGCCGCTCGGACACCTCCGGGTGGTGTGATGAAGAGTTACAGACCCGCGTGCCTTGTCTGCAGCAGGGAAACGCTGCAGCAGAAAAAATATCTTGCCCTTAGCCGTTGTGGGTAGCGTGGGAATTCGCTTATATTTGGAAAGCAGACGGATGGTGGACTGTCTCTTTTGTGTGCTCCGGCAACCAGCAGTGGGAGAGGAGACATTGTCTTAGGTCTGGGGGAAAAGTGGCTTCCACCTGCAGCTGAATGAAGGATATAATTAAAAGCTAAAGAGCTTGGCAGGACAGAGACTTTTGATATCAGATAGTTTCTTTCTTTTAAAACCTTCACCACCATAGGTATAGATATAGATATGTTTGACAGAGGAATATAAAAATAATTGCATTTCTCCCAAAGGAAGTTTTCCAAAACACTTCTCAACAAAAGCACCTCAGAAATCTCAGTGGATTTGAGCCGAGAGTTATTCTTCCTTCTAGTTTGTTGGATATTTTGCTTATAGCATACATAGAACCACAGAAAGCCCAGGTTGGACCTCGAAAGATCATCTGGTCCGATGATCTTTCTTGAGAAAGGGAGCCTAGGTGAGAAATGTTAATATGTAGGACTCGTTGCTGCTTGATGAATTACCCCACTCTAGGTGTCCTTATTATTTGTTATTCTTCCTTCTAGTTTGTTGGATAATTTTGCTTATAGCATACATAGAACCACAGAAAGCCCAGGCTGGACCTCGAAAGATCATCTGGTCCGATGATCTTTCTTGAGAAAGGGAGCCTAGGTGAGAAATGTTAATATGTAGGACTCGTTGCTGCTTGATGAATTACCCCACTCTAGGTGTCCTTATTTCCTCTTGTTTTTAATTAAGTTTCCAAAGCAGAGACAACTGAAATGCTCAAATGTTTAACCGGACTTGGTGTTACGTTCCTAAAAGAGGTCTGGATTGCCGTAGTCTTGTGTGTGGTGGATCCAACTCAGTGAACTTCCAAGAGGAACTTCAGTCGAAAGTGCAGGGGAGGCAGGATTGCAAACTCCCGCAATATGAGAAACCGGCTTGGCTTTCCGGAAATACTTTTTCTACTAAGAGCATCATTACACTATTTTGCTTCGATCTTTGCAGAGAAGGGATCTACAAAATGTAGAAACCCGTGGCTGTAGACGCAAACTTCCCGCATGAAACACATAATAGAGGTCCTCTCCGTAAGCGCTTCTGACACCTCAAAAACCAAGTGACTTTTTGGCGGGAAGAGCTGGAAATGTGCCTCTTTGCCCTGTGCTTCAGGTGGGGTTAGATCAGCCTGAACGTTTTGGAAAGAGAAAATTGGATGCTCTGTAGATCATTCAAAACCTGGCCCGTACTGACCTGAGCATTCAAGACTGTATTCATACAACCCAGCCTTATCTATCTAAAAATTAGTTACCAAACCTTAAGCTTTAGATACCTTATCTAGCTTTACCCTTTAGTTAGTAAAGAGGACAGATATCTCAGAGCAGTGCCTAACATAGGTGAGATAAATGCCGTTTTTTCCTGTAAAAAAAGTATTTCATTAATTAATTTCATTAAATTTCCTGTTCTTGTACAGGAAAGATTCATCGCCCTTTAACGATAAGGGAGCGAGGCCCTGGAGATAAAACGAGGTCATAAGGCAGGTTTTAAGCTGTAAACTGGGAGATGCTGAAGGCTGGGGAAAAGCATTTTGACAGGGATTTTGACAGGGCTACCAGGGAGCCTGGAGCTGATGTCCAGTGTACACCTGAAAAGACCAAGAGGGAGGAAAAAAAAAGCTACACGCAAGAAAATACAGGAGGTGAATCAGATTGTCTGTGGTATCTGGTGACTGGCACAAGCCAGCAATAGAAAGAAAGCAAGACTTGGAAATGTTTCCAAACCAAATCTGGAAGCCTAAATAATAGGGTGGGGAAACAAAAATCCTTGGCGTCAAGTGAAGCTGTGACGTCCTCTGTCACAAAACCAGCAGATAAATATCATGCCAAAGCTCCTTCCACATGACAAACTCCCTCAGGGCGTTCTTCACCTCCTGTTCCTGAGGCTGTAGATCAGGGGGTTCAGCATGGGCACCACCAGTGAGTAAAACACAGCAAAGATCTTGTCCGTGCACAGGGTGTCGCTGGACCTTGGTCGGAAGTTCAGGGCGAGGATAGACCCGTGGAAGATGGTGACTCCAGCCAGGTGAGAGGTGCAGGTGGAGAAGGCTTTGCGCGGCCCTCCGCAGAGCTGATCTTTGAGACGGCAGAGAGGATGAAGGCGTAGGAGCCCAGGACAGCCAAGATGGTCACCATCTCCACCAGTCCCGCGAGGCCGAACATCAGACACCTGTTGACGTGGGTGTCGGAGCAGGAGAGCGCTAGAATAGTCATGAGGTCGCAGTAGAAATGGTTGACCTTCGCTGGCCGGCAGAAAGACAGGCTGAAGGTGAAGTCCGTGTGTACCGAAGAGTGCAGCAGGCCAAGCACGCAGGAACCGGCCACCAGCAGGGTGCAGACCCTGTGAGACATGATGGCCGGGTAAAGCAGAGGGTCGCAGATGGCCACGTAGCGGTCGTACGCCATCGCAGCAAGAAGGAAGCACTCGGTGGTCCCAAAAGCTATGAAAAAAAAAAGCTGGGCGGTGCAGCCGGCTAGAGAGGTTGTTTTCTTCTCCATCAGAAGGTCCATTAATGTCCTCAGCGCCACCACCGATGAGTAGCAAGCATCTAGGACAGATAAATTGCTAAGGAAAAAGTACATGGGTGATTGAAGCTGGCTGCTGCTCCTGATCAGCGCAACCATGCCCAGGTTCCCTGCCAGCGTGATGAAGTAAATGAGGAGGAACAGGACAAACAGAGGCCCTTGGAGTCGTGGGTTCTCTGTCAGTCCCACAGGAGTCAACTCCGTAACTTGCTCGGTTTGATTTTCCTCGGCCATCTTCTCCAAAAGCACTGTAAGTTATGTTCAAAGAGCCATAACAAAAATAATAAATTAATAGAGAGACTCAGCACCTAAAAAGACCAACAATCCCCAGTGCCTGTACTGGCTAACTCTCTCATTATCGGGTTTGTTTAATTTTCAATCAACATTCATCAAAAAAACAATTTGGCAAGACAGTGGAAATTTTATTTTGGTATCAGTTACCCTGCCAAGAGTTCCATTTTTCCTTCACCCTGATACATATATATTTTTATCTATTGTACACTCATAGGATACATCACATTTCAGTGTAACCCTCCCAAGTTCTAACAAAAGAGAGTTAGAAAAAGGGCTCAGTGATTCCTATAACAAATTAGTTATATCCATAATGAAAATAGGCTTTTCACAGCATTTGAACTAGAATATAACCGCTATGTACGGTGTTCTGGTACGCAGCATCAGAATCACAAAAGCAAACAGGTTTTCTGATACGTCTTTCTGCATCTGTAACTCTTCGTCATTTTCTAAAATAACACCAAGTCTAACGACGACGTAATGATAAGCTCCAGCTGGGATCAAGCCTCTGAAACGCCAGTGAATTCATCAGGTGAAGTCCACGAAGGGAAAGAAAAGCCCTAGGAAGTCCCGAATTTTGCTCCAGAAGTCCCTCCCGAGCCCGCGCGCCCTGCAGCCGTGTTCGCGTGGCCGGCAGCAGCAGCCCAGAGGCCTGGGCGGGAGGCGAGGCTGCTCTTTGGCACCTCATTTTTGCAGAGAAAGGGGGAACGCACAGTTCAGAGGGCGCGTCGGACGCCCGCAGTGGTGGGGAATCGCCAGGGGAACCTGGGAATTCAGCAGATGTACCCATTCCTTTTGATGATTCCAAATTTTAGGAAGCCGCCGCGGTGGAGTTTGGGGTTTTTTTTTAAAGATTGTTTTGCTTGCACTGCTGCAGAGAGAAAAAATGAAAATCCCCCTTACTCCTCCATAACTTGTCGTTTCTTTTACTGATTTGGGGTTATGCTTTTACGGAGTGTGTGGAAATGGTGCGGCGCCATCATTTGGGAGAAAAGAAACCATTAAAAAAAAAAAAGATGGCACAACAAACCTTTGCCTTCATAACGTCTTTCTCTACGCCTCCTCATTCTAAAATTCATACTTTGGAGTTCCAAATACCAACGCATCCTGACTTTTCGCAGAAATCGGTGAGAAATACGGAGCAGCCCTCCACAGCCGCCCAGAAGCAGCCACTGTAACGTAAATATATATTTAAAACAAACCAAGTTTTTCTCTCTGCAGCAATGCAACTTGCAGAAATTGCAGAATTACTTGTTGATTTTGCAAAACAAAACAGAGCAAAAGTGTGCATTTTTCTTTCAAAACTGATACGAACACACCGTTTTCAGCATACGCAGTCTTGACAACCCCACAGGAAAGGAAATTGGCGGTGGCACAGCGGCAACGGGGAAACTAACTTGGATGTAGAGCCGAGGCCACACAAGCAAACACAGGAGGAGCTGAGCAGGGCAGGGAGAGGAGGTAATACAGCCTGTGCTGTAGGTATCGAGCACCCCCTTGCCTTGGTCACCAGGGCCACCCCTTGCCGTTACAGTGGCACCTATGCAAAGACCGAACACCTACATGTCTCCTTGTTTTATGTCATCTAAACTTTAAAGCAGAAGAACCCTCTTCCCATGTAGGATTCCTTCTGCTGTTCTCAGTCTCATGGCTATAAACGAGATATCTTACACCTCTGGTCCTTTCTTTCCTCTATCTCACCGCCTTCAAGTCCATCAGACAGAAAGAAAGGGGTGCTTACTTGAGCCCCGTGATGTCCCTTCATGTCCCACCGCTTCAGAGCAGGTTCAGGGCTGAGGACTGGCCGGAATAGAAGATGCCCTCACCTTGGACATGACTTCTCCAAGAAAACTCAGATCTTCAGTGCTGGTCCATGCAGCTCCTTCAGCGACTGGGATGAGTTTGGCTGCTCCTCCAGACAATATGACCGAGGCCATAATTCATCTTCAAGCAAATGTTGAGAGTGCTTTTCAGAACTCTTTCCTTAAAAGCAGCACTGAGGATGACTTGTTGCTGCACCTTCCAGAGGGCAGGCAAGCCCTCTCTGTACTTTTTAGTGTCCAAGTGATATTTATACTCATTTCTGTGACCTTGGAGGCATTTCAGTCCATGGAGAATAGAAACTTGACAACAAGCAAAATCCACCCGGAATATAAACGTCTTCATCTCCAGGCTCACTAATGAAGCCCAGGAACAATTTGCTTTGAACATCTGGATGTAAGAAGATGTCTTCCCCTCCTCTCCCATGCCGAGGAGAGGGAGTGGATGAAAACTGAACGTCTACATGATTCACCAAAAGCAAATCCCAACTTTTTTCCCCGGTCACCCCTCAAAGTCACTTTCTCAAGTGTCTTTCCTAGTGCCACTTAAGCTGGATTTCGGCAACGCAAAGATATTTCTTGCAACCATTTCTGCTGTCATGATCTCCCCTTGTTAGCACCCTCTTGCTCCAAAACCCACCCCAAATGTTGATCTTTGCCTTTGCTGGCTTCGATAAGACAGTCATTGTCCCCCCACTAAGTTTTTTCATGTCATCTTTTTTTTTTTTTTACTTTTGCTATGAGCATTGATGAGAAGAGCAAGGCAATAACAATCACCTAAACTCAAATCAATACCAGAACTGCGGTCTTACCTAAACAAAATTCTTTTCACTGAGATCTGCCCGCCGGGTCCAAGTGCCGTGACATGTATTATCTACAACACTGTGGTCCTGATGTATGGATTGACGAAAAACTTTCCTATCTGCTTTCTCCAAGAGATTTAGCTTACAGAGCTGGTTGTCTCTCTGTATTACTTTGTTTGAGTAGGGTGCCACTTTCAGAACCTCCAACAGCTGCATTTCAGAGACCACTTATTCCTGCCATTATTAGCGGGAATGATACTGTCTGTTCATACGTGAGTTTGCTTTGACAGCGAGAATTCTGAGGTGTTATGAACCCCCTCAGACAAACTCTGCACATAACTCTGACTGCCTGGTGATAATCTCTCACCGCCACCATCACTTCACAGCTGCTGTTGATGGCCCCATGGCTAAGAGGGATGCCTTCATCCAGTAAAATATATGAATACGTGAAGAAAGGCACCAGTTCTTTTCAAAATGTTATAACTTTTCTCACAAGCAGGTCCTCTATTAACTTCTATGATGGACTTTTTTCTTCAATATTATTTTTTCTTAGCGAGATTTGGGGCCAAAAGCCTCAGCAGCCATTGCATCCCTCCGGGATATGGGCAGCACTTAGGACCAGCTGAACACGACCAGCTGGAAATGTCCCCTTCTGAAGTCACTCTGCCTTTATCTGGCAGCAAACTCGCCAAAGACCTACCTGATCCCATATTCACAGCTCACCTAAACGCCACCGGGTGCCCAGCTTTTCAGCAGAATTTATCTCTAGGCAGACGAGAGCATCATTTTCTGGCAGGGGTCTAAGGCAGTTTCAAAAGTAGGAAAAGAATCATCAGCTTGAGATATTATGAAGTCTGCCAGATTGTGTCTGTGTTATTGTTTTTACTCGCTATCTTTATTCTGTTCATTAAATCTTAGTCACTCAGGAAATATATAAAAACGCAAGCTGTGCAACAACGCCAGAAATCTTCTAATGGATTTTAATTGGAATTAAAATTCATTATTTTAATAACGACTAATAAAGGAATGCAGAAAGTAAAACCTACCAAAAAAAAAAAAGTTATTGAGAGTCTGTGTGGCTTCTTTCCCTTAGGATACTTGGCGGGTTTTGGTCTCCAGCTCCCAAAAAGTTGTCCTGAGAATGAGAGAAGACACCCAAATTCATAAGCAGACCCTACGCTTGGCTGGGGCTGATCTTTCACCTCTGTAAACTGGCTGGCCTGCATGGGTTAACAGCAGCGCGCAGCTCCCTCCAGATATGCTCCTAAGCTGTGCTTGGAGTATAATTTCATTCCACCAAAATCCATGCGATTTCAACACTGCCTTGATGAGCACTGGATTGCTCAAAGGGAAAAGGAAAAACAAACGGTGAGGCGTGAAATGAATCGTTCAGTGGCGTTAGCACGTGGCGCACAGTCTGGTGCTCGTCACCACGGCCGGTCCCCCGGCTTGGCGTGGGGTTTCCCACTGTGCATCCCAGCCCGCAGGGCTCCAGAAAGAAATGCCAACATGAAATTGGAAACAACATTTTCTGAGAAACGAAAAGCTAATTATGGGGTTGTAGTGGGTTGGGTTTTTTTTCTTTTCCAGATCATTTATAGCTCCCTCAGTGCTTTTATTTAGCATACCAGCTGTTGAGTCTGAGCATGATTTAGCTGAATGCTGTCATCTACAGGTGTAGATTTATTCATCTGACCATTCTCCACCCTGTTGCCAGGTACTCTAGGAAGCAATTCGTCTTGCTCCAAAATAAACATCCGAAATAGCTTATCTGAATATTGCCCAAAAGTCCCCACTTCTCCCAGTTGACCGCAGAGTTCAAGTTACTCCCTGGACCAGGAGAAAGTGGTGTCCGTTGCCTACGCCCTGGCGATCCCCACGCTGAGCCCCCTGATCCACAGCCTGAGGAAGACGGAGGTGAAGGATGCTCTGGAGAGACTCCTAGGAGGAGTTCTTGTTTCCTCCCGGCTTCAGACTGGCAAAAACATATAATCAGCTAAATGCAAATAACTTGGATATTCTTGAGATTGCATCTTTGTTCTGCAGCTATAGTGATGAAAATAATGACCACGCAACATGGAGAGCCATGAAAGCTCTGAAAATTCTCTTTCTGGGGTGCAGGGAGTAACTCAGGGGATCTCTGGGGGGTGCACAACTGTGCAGCAACGTTTTGTTCGGTGCTAAGGCCATACTGAATAGCTGAACCACACACTTCAGGGACCGGGTCCTTAAGGAAACGCAGAATAAGGCAATGGATAAATATCCCCAGCCACACGCCACGGGCGGTGCTGGGACAGGCGAGGCCATACCTGCTTGCTCTGCCCTG